TTGTAGTGCTATTAATACACAAGTGCAATTCCTGGAGTGTTTTAAACACCTTTAAGCAAAACTACTCATATAAAGTCAGTTTCAATTATCTTAGATCAAAATCTAATTTTTGGCGCTTATCCAACCACCTGATGCACTGTGTGGCTATTTCATTGGCACTCAACTGTTGTCTTACCGGGAAATAGTGGGTGGTAAAACTCTTATAATGAGCGGTCATTGCTGGTACACATACATATATTTGATGAAAACTCTGGAAGTGCAGTGAACAACCAGGGTTTCTGGAATTTGTAAATTAAATATGTTAGTTATTGTAGCCATTAACATTGCCTGACATTGCAGTCTTCTGTCTCAACGGTTATATAATAATAATAATCCTTGCACTTGATATAGCGCTTTTCACGTCTTCTCGGCGTTTCAAAGCGCTTCACAGAATAGGCTGTAAAGTGAATTGACCGTATATTTGTGGGTGAAACGCAGCAGCCAATTGCACATAGCTGTTCAGCACAGTTAGAATTACAAAGTGGTTCAGTGCGATCTAGTGCATCACTTATGTCAAGCCATTCTAATCTCGAGAGAACATTTTTTAAAATTCGTCTGTCCCCTGGTAGCAGCAAATGTTTAGACATAATTCTTTTGATGTTTTATTTCACGTGTATAAATAGTAAAATAGAAATCAATTGTTGTTCAATGGGATTGTTCGAGTTCTCTATTTCTAAAATTGAGACCGACTTAATTTAAGTTAAAGAGAATGCGTCCGATGGAAATACTGCAACACACAATATAACAGAAAACAGCATCATAACTAATATAGAAAAGAATGGTATCAATTGCCTTGCCACTTAAAGACATTTGATACCAGTGCAGCCTGCTTTGTTCAGTTCTATATTAGTCCAGCCTGCCAGATGGATATTAGATGATTATAAAACATTTCTCAGTTGGCACATGGGGGTAAGATGGACTGTTTTACCTGCAGGCAAACTGATAAGATCCCACAATTTAATCTACACCCACCTTCAGGTAAATATACACAAGTCCAATCTTTCTTTAGTAGCCATTCAGACTTTTCATCGACTTGGTAGTCTGCCAAAATGTATGTAGTCCATGATAATGATCAAGACCATTCAGCTCTTTGGTCTTTCTGGCTGTACATCTAACCCAATAATGATCTCCGTATGGTGAGAATGGAACATATTTGAGCACATCTTACCTTGTAAAGATTTCAGTTTCATTGCACACTCATAGCAATAAATTGCTTTGATTCAAAACTGTTCTGATTCCATATGGTAAAAATAAAAATTATCAAAGCATATGCAGATTCGAGTGGACATTTACAACAGAGTGAGCATTTCTCAATGGTATATAAATGAATAATCAACTACAGTTCTAAGATTTGAAATGTATTACTCCAGAAATCTCCTGATATGCATCTGCTTCAAACAACTCAGCACTGTTCCCACACATCAAAACTGTTCTATGGGCTGTGAACATCTTCATTTCCACTCACTGGAAATTCTGAAAGAACAAGGAATAAGAACGTTTTCCAAAAAGAGAAATAGAATAGAGAGAAAATGTACAAGTGAAGTTTTAATTATTGTTTGGATACTGTTTCGTTACTGACTCAGTATTGGACAAGTTGAATTCATGTTTTTCACTTGGTGGCTGTTGGTGGGACAATGCTGTCCGCACATTGATGCCACATTGGCCAACAAAATACACAGTCACTAGACTTTACACTATGTTCTGAGACATCCTCCTGACATAAAGGACTATATCAAATTCTGCAAAGATTCATATTATTATGAGACATCATTGGTACCTTAGATATGGGCGGCTCATTCCAGTGCATGTTCAAGTGAAATATTCCAATCCTCTGTCAGGCTGTAAATTCACCTGAGGACCTTTTGTAAATGAGAGATACAAAACACTGATTGTGATGTGCAGTTCAAGTTCAGGTCCATTATATAGAAAAGGAAGATGTTTGTAGCAGCCCTGAACTTAATACACTTGTATTTTATGTGATGATGGGTGGGCTTTATGTTTTGTTTAAATAAAAGAGAGTTGTACAGATAAACAGATGGAATATTTTCTATCATCTCATTTCAGAAATACACACGTGTCAATTACTATTATGGAGATTTATATTCTGGTTAACCTAATCTAGACCAGCTTCTGCACCCAACTTGCTTTAGTTTGTTAAATAACATTGTTGTTTGATATTTGTACTCTAATTTTCAGTGTGGCTGCCAGCCAGCAAAAACTATTTCTGGATTACTTCAAAGCACATATGTGATAAGTGTGAAAATTAGACAGGCCTAACAAGGAAGTAAAGATTCATTGCAGAACTAGAAGCATATGGAAGTTCAATGTTTTTTTTTACCCAGCTTAGCCAAGAAATAAATCACTGAAGTCTTTTAAAGGGGAAAAAGAGATGTGTAACCCTAAACAGGAAATGAATACCAGTAGGTAGTTTAAGACTGTGCTGAAAGGTAGCAAGGTTAAAGATACCTCCAAATTAGGAACTATACAGCCTAACAGATTGTTGGTCACAAAAATGATTTCTGCTCTTGTAGAGCGGTTTGTGTATTCTTTCATGTCTTTACAGTTTCCTATATGTAGAAATCTTCTGGGTACCAGATGAATGCAGTATATCACTCTTTTGCTCCAGGGATGTTAAGTTTAAAGTTAACAATCGTGGTGTTCATGCTCCAAGTGGCAAGTCTTTATGTCTATTACAATCTTTAATGTGGACAAATACAAATACAATGTGGGTAACACATAATCTGGCAGCAGTATCTTGGGCATTATTTCCAAGAGATATTTTACCACACATTAAATAGACAGGGATAATTCGATTCCTTGTACGTTGATAAAATGTAATGTTCTTCTGAGAGCTCTTACTTGCTATACATAAATCAGTTTTAATGCTTGTATGTTGCATCGCAATCCTAAAGCCTGATATTTGCTGACACTGAAACTTGCTTCATGGTGAGTTTTGTCGGTTCTTGGGCGCACCATTTGGAAGAGTCACCCCTTAACAGTAGAACACTTCAACAACAACAACTTGCATTTATATAGCACCTTTCATGCAGGGTAGAGTCCCACAGCGCTTGTACACTAGGAGTAAAAGAACAGGCATTTTTCATCTCAGTCCACTTCAAGTCAGCTCCCACTGCCCCGCACAAGTGCGCAGCCAGCAGTGTAAAGTGCTTGAGGCATGTATCTAATGTGAAAGGAACTACATGAATGTAAATTAAATTGTATTTGTATATTGTACTGTATGCTGACTAACCATTGCCCATTTCACTTACATATGCAAGGAAATTATCAGCTGTGTCCATTTCTAGTTGAATATAAGCTATGCTTCAAATATAAAGAGAACCTCAGAGATTTTGCTTGGCTTACTATACAATTCTGTTTCACTTTGTTGTTGTAATATATTCTAGTAAATATTGACACCTTCGCTGTATTTCCTGAGATTGGTTGTCTTGAAGTCTATGTAACTGGACCCTGATGGGTTGATGTTGGTTCCTGGGTTTATGAATTGACAGTTTTGTCCTAAGAGTGGAATTCTTCCACATTCTGTGACAATGAGGCAAAATCACTCCCAAAGAACATTCATTTGTAGAGGTTATGGACATTAAATGCTAAATGAAGAGTAATAAAGCACATATTTTTATTTTCCTCTTCGTTGAGTTATTTTTGACACTCACTTAAGTGTTACTATTGTACATCTCATTCCCCTGGCCACAATGGAGACAATAGATGATGAAGGGAGTTTCTCCTGATATCCTGGCCAACAAAATCCCAGATAAAATCGGCCATTCATTTTGTGGCTGTTTGTGAGACATTGCTGTGTGCAAGTTGGCTGATGGGTTTGCCTATGCTCGCTGCACTTTACGGAAAACTCTGTGATGCCCTTTGTGACATTTTGACATTGTTGGACCTATATCAAATGCAACAATTCTTATTTAGTTTATAAAATAGCTTTCAGGGGCACTGATCTGATAGGAAAACCTAGTCCTGAATGGAATTAATGCCATCAATCATGGTATACATCTGGTTATGTTACAACTGATTACAACAAACTTTTAAAAGTTCTTGAGCCGTCCAGCTTTTAGGATTATTCTTAAAGAGTTGGTTGCACTTAATAACATTTAACTAGCTCTTGGCAGTGGTTAGTGGAGCCCTGGAAGTGGTTCTCCTAATCCCTACCCTCCACCCCCCAATGAGAGTGATTTGAAGTTGGTTGTATAGATCAAGCTTCCCTCTTAAATTCCCTCTACTTCTGGAAGTGATGTGAAATCGCTCCAGTGGTAATAAAAAAATATTTAATACAGGCTGCTGTGAATTATGATTTAACCTGTCCCACATGTGCGAAGTTTATGCATTAATTATTCATTGCGGAAACTGAATTAATTGCAATGGTTAAAATAAAATTGACCCTCACCCGTGGAGAGTATTTTTTTTAACAAGTTGCAGTCCAAATCATTTTGTTGCTCTACATGGAGGAAGGATTGAGAATGCATTTCATGGGAGTGCCCATGGTGTACAATACAACAAATCAGAAGAAGCACTGACACATGCAATGGGAGCTGAACCTCTCTGACTTAGCAATTACGGGTGAGGCATTCCCCAGTTTCTTTCAGAACTTTGAGGTCTGAAGGCTCAGATATGTGAATATCTTTCAGCACGGTTTCCATTTACTGCACCCAGTGGTGTATAGGCTTGGAAACTGAAAAGTCCTTGCAATTGCAAACATTCTGCAAAAAGGTCAGCAACTTACTGAGTAATAATAACCTACTGGTTCTAACAGCTAGAAGTGTAAAACTACATTATCGTCGCAGCGTCAAGCACAAATGTGCAATATTGTTATATTCTCTATTTTCTGTAGATTAAATATTAACACAGCAATGCTGATTTAATACTTTGCTGCGCAATAAATAAAGAAGCAGACAGTAGTTTTCCCTCGAGGACAAATCATGTGATCCAAAGGAAAGCACAGAACAAGAAAAGCCCATTCAGCTCGTCGAATGCAGCAGGAAAGGAGACTTGAGTTACTGTGAAGAGGGAGACAGACTACAGGCCCATCATAAAGAGCAGCTCAAAGCACAGCCTCTACAGGGACAGATGTTTCAGGATTCAAGGTAAGTGCAGTTTCCAGTTGCTACGATTTAACCCTTAAACTGCTGATATGGCTATAGAAATTTCTCTCTCTGGGCTGATTTGGATTTGTGTTTTTCAGCTCAAGCAACAACAATTTATATAATGCTCTTCATGCAATATAGAATCTAGGAGGGCTGGACAGTGGTGTGATTGGACCTCGGGCAAGTGAGAAGGAGAGGGAGAGAGGACCAGAGGTGCGGTTGAAGAGGTAGATGTAAAGGTAAGATTTAAAGGTAGATAAGCACTGAGATGCTGAAAAACACACTAAATTAAAATGTTAAACCCAAGCAGCAGGATACTTTTATTCTTAAATATTAGGCCAAATCTCCTATAAAAAAATTATAAGAACTATAAATTATAAGAAATGTGATTCCCTTTGAATTAAGATGGCAATGGGAGAATCTAGGACACTTATTAACACATAGGTCCTTTCTTGCTTATTTTGATGTATTCTTTTTTTTAAATTCCATACTAAAAAGCTATTCCTCTCAAGAGAATTCCACATTTGCAATCAAATTTCTCCAGGCACTCTGATACCAAAATTGCCAATAGCAAATATAGTGTCTGAAACCTTACCATATAATCTATGCATATTTTGACAACACAATGAATACATTTCACTGTCTAATGGTGCGTTTTTGAGGACATGGGTTACCCATTTATTTCTAAAATGTGTGATTTCATTGTATCGTGTAAATGTCTGTAGACTTCAAATTCTTAAAATCTTCTTATAATGCTCTTCCTATAGTTGACATATTTAAGATCCTTTTAGGCACCTTTGAATATGTAATGTAGTTATAAACCTATTTCTAGGCAAGTGTGATTTGTAGGAAACTAGAATTCTGAAAATAGGACAATTGTACCCCAAGACCTGCAGAAAAAAACGACGTACTTTATTTGGAAACGACACAAATGTCTGTGCATAGCAGAAATGCATTCAAACTCAACCTTTGGAAACTGAGAAAGGTGCAGAAGCTATGAATCATTGTGAAGTAAGTTTCAAACAAACACATCACAGCTGGTGTTTATTGCTAAGAAAACATTCATATTTTTTCAGATCTGTATAAACATAGCTTGTGTATGCCAAAAAGGTAAGGCTTCCTTCTAAACTGAAGTGTGTGCTATTAAGAGATGTTTAAAAGCTTTTACTTTGTTTGTCTACACTAAGAAAGAATACATGAAAGACATACTTTGGACAGATGGGGAAACCAAAATTACCTTGCTCGAGGCACCTTATTAGAGATCACACATAATTTGTGATCCTGAGACAAATTTTTACCTTTTTTCCTTTCATCCTCTACTACACCAGAGGTTTTTTTTTGTATTGCATGTCAATTATGTAAACATAATCATATCCTATTGTCTGGAATAATACCAACATCTTTTCATTTCAGTAAAACTACATTTATGAGCACTCAAAGACACCAAAGCCTGAGCAATGATAATGGAAAAACGCAAACTGGTTTTACCCCACAAATTGCACCAAATGTAGATTAATTCTCCTGGCCTAGACCAGAAAATGTTGGCTATCGTATCAACACCTAGAATCAAAAAGGTTTTGAACAAATTGATCCACTGTGATATCAAGTTTTTTTTAAAAAAACACTTAACATATCAAGTATTTATGTTATATTCTTTAAGCACATTGTTAAGGGAGATATTGAAAGAGACTTGGAATTTTAACTGACTCGTCTTTCACGAGGTTCAAAGACCACAACAGTAAACAGGACAAACAAGATACTGGGCTGCATAATTGACTGAATTAAAACCAGATCCTTAAGAAGTCATGCTCAAACTGCACTACGAAGGGTATTCACAATCAATACCTCCCTTTGGTATTATGAATCTCAACTTCCCCAACTGCATTCACAGGTGATGTTTACTTGGAATCAAGAATTGAGAGTGAGGGAGTTCTAATCCTGTCTTTAGCCAAAAAAAGAATAGGAGTTAAGTATAAACATAGGCCCATTGCAGGGGACAAAAGTTTAGACTATTTTGCATGGTGGAGGCAGAAAGGAAGATCACAGAAAGGCGTTTGCTGCTCAAAAAGCAGACTAAATTGCTTGGACAATGTCAAGAATGCCTAAGGCTAAAATAGATGAATAATGTCGCAGAAGTTATTACCAAATTGATTCATGTTATGAGTCTGAGACTCCTTTTAACACTGAACAATTCTTGCTCTACGTACAAACTATTTCATCAAACGTTCTGGAGGTGGGTCTCATATCGATTCCAATGTCTGGTTATCTGGGGAGATTCAGAGAAAGTACTCCCACTGCCTCAAGGAAAAGCAAATCTGGTGATGATTCTAATAGCTGCAGTTAACAGAATGATTGTATGGAAATGGAATTTCATTGATCATCCATCAATTGTCAGATTGGAGAATCTGAGCTGGAGAAAAGTACAAAGATGCAACTAAGAGACAGTACAAAAAATGAATTCTGAGACTACCTTGAAAATTGTCATTGAAATACCCCAAAACAAACGTTTCTAAGACTGCAATGCTGGGTGTCCAATATTTAGAAGGCAAATCAATTTCCAAGAAGGATATTGTGCTGATGGGGAGAGTGAGTTGTAGATTTACTACACTAGGATGTGTCAAGACCCTTCTCTTCGACCCTTCCGTGGTCTCCCTCCCACCTCTCTGCCTTCCCTCTCCCCTACACCACCCCTCGACCATGAAAGGCGCTCTATAAATGCAATTGTGTTGTTGTTACCAAGAGAAGAACAACAATCGGGAGAGGTTGAACAGGTTAGAGCTTTCTCCGTCTGAAGCTGAGACGATTGAGATGGGCTCTAATAGAGGTGTTTAAAATCATGAAGAGGTTAGATGGCTTGAAAAAAAAATAGAGTTTTTCTGTTTGTTGCTGAATCCACAACAAGAGGGAATATAAGAACCAATAAGGTAGACAGCTCAACCATTGTCAGTTTCCAATCTGAAATCTGATACGATAGCGTAGAATGCAGAAATGCAATAGCATTAGAAAACACTTATTTACACCAGAGGCCATCCAGCTGATGGACAAGTAAACAATTGGAATATGAAATAATAGGTGTTTATCTTGTTTAATTAGATTTTACTATTCAGGCATTGTTGACATTGACACAAAGTCCCAGGGAAAATAGCAGTGATTTGAAATGGAAATTAAAAACGTGTATATTCAGAATAATAATACAAAATGCTACAAATCCACGCCAAGTCAATCAGCTTTGACTTTCAGAAATATGGTATTTTATAGAATTGTGTACTTAATGTAATCGAGGTGGAAGGTTTTATGATGTTAAGTGATTCAATTAAATCAGATTATTTTGCAAAGTGCTGCATTATATCTGCTGCCAACAGAGTCATGCAATTTGGTTACTTATTAAGGGGATGTTTCAGACGAATAACAAAGTAGCAAATATAATATATTACTATAACTGGAGCCTGGCACAAAATCCTGAATGTTAAGCTTTTATTGTTAAACTGGGAGAGGAGGGAGCTCTACATGTCCAGAGTATTTATGCAGAGCGTTCCTCAGAACCACGAGTAATCCTTGTGTAATGAATATTTTGTGCAGATTTGGATTCACAAAACATACAGGGATTTTCAAAAAGCACAATTTTGTTAACCAGATTCGGAATTACTAGGACGTAAATTACATTGGTGTGAAAAATAATTGCTTTTCCTTAAAAAAAGGCATAATCAGCATAATCCCTGTAGTTTTCCTGTTAGTGCAGCACCTGGCCAATATATCGTCTGCAACCGTATCTTTTCATTTTCTTATCGGTTGTTGCAGAAGCTGCTGGAATGTGGCGATAAATATCTCTCACAACACTGCAGGCAGCCAGCACTGGTTGATCGGGCAGCTGAAAGCAATATTCGTGAATTTCAGGATCAAAACGAACAGTCTGCCCTCTAAAAACACTGAATATCCCTAAATTAGACTGGAACGGTGTGCTTGATCGTGGCAGGTAAAGATTTTTGATTATCATAAGGGGAAAAATTGTTTTTTNAATAAATTAAAATAAAGCATTGAATCTAAATGTCATGAAGATATAAGGTACTCTAATAATTCCGTTTACGATATACTTGATGGTCAGTATATGAAAATAGCCCTCATTATTATGCACTCTGGGTCTGAATCTCAGTATACAGTGCAGTTAATCATATGAGTTGCAGTAAGATGTTTCACTCACAATTTGTGCACCTGAATTAGTTGGGGGCCCAGAGATTGCTGATTGATGTAAGCTTGTCTGCTCATCAAGGAACTGTTTTTTTCCACTCGTGAATTAGGGCTGATTATTGTAACACTTTAATCCTATAAAACAAGCCAAAATATTCAGCACTGCTGCCACAAATCAGCTTCATTTGGAACTTCATCACAGGATAACCAGACACGAACACAGTGGCACACAGCGAGCTCCTGAGCATGGGTTTTATCATGTCATTGTGGGCAATTGTGTGTTTTTCTTGGATTTGGTTTTACATTTATCACAAATCACGGGGGATAAAGTTTTGCCAAAAGATTTGAAAAATTGTTTTATACTTTTTGTCCTTTGTCTGTTGTACAATTTTGCCAACTAAGCTAAATATACAATCTTTCCTGATGTAACTTTAATGTGTCCCAGAAATGGGTTATGTGCACAGACCTATTTACCAAGAGTAGGGTCTGGGCATGAGGTAGAACAGATGTTACCTTTACTGCAGATAATGAACCCTAGGCTTCCTGGTGCCTTGCCAAAAGTTCCCTTTAAGATTCGGATGGATGATTGTCAATGAATATACAGACACCACCTGGCAATGCTGATGGCGGATTCATTTAACAATCAAATGCCTTAATGGGTTTAAAATGTATCCTACAGCAATCACAGTATATGACTTCAATGGAACCACCTTCGGCTGAATAAACTCATTTGCATGCATAAACTGCAGAATGGATGGGTTACAAAGATAATTACATTGTGTGCCTCACTTATTGTACAGATTAAGACAATATGCTGATAAAAGTTTCAATCCTGCCAGGAGGTTTTTAAAGACACAAATTTCAGGTGTCAGCCTGGCTCAATTGGTAGCACTCTCACCTCTGAGCCAGCAGGTTGTGGTTCAAGCCCAGATGGGTTGATACTCCGACGCAATGCTTGGGGTGCGCTGTATTGTTGCCATGATTCAGCTGAGAGATTAAATCAAGGTCCCATCTGCCTGGTCAGGTGCCATTGCACTATTTGAGAAGAGATTCTCCCAGTGTCAGTGTCCTGACTAACAATTTCCCAGATAAATGTAGTCATTCACTTTATGGTGGTTTTGGAAAGTCTTCCTGTTGTTTACAATATGCTAAACATGTTAACTGTATTGTCTTGGGGACATTGCTGTGCACACATTATCCACACAGTTAGCATTTAAAATACAGTCACTACGCTTTACAGTCAATTCTGGGAAGTGTTTTGAGACTTGCTCTTAGCATGAAAGGCATTCTATAAAATGCAAGGATTATCATCTTTAATATCATTTTGCAGAGGGACACTGTAACACCTCATTAAAGGGGATGATTGATCGTTAAAGCACAGTTTGGTTGAGGCCTTGAATAACATATTGTAATTTGCATCTCGCAGAGGTGCCGAGGTGGATGAAGAAACCAAGTGGGAGCAATTGAAAAGTTAATCGGATGAAGCTAGTAATATTCGTGTGCCTGCAGAGGGCAAAGGGTATGCACGTAGAATGCTGACAGTACAGGTGGAACATCTACAATTAGTATTTTAGAAAGTAAAAGATTGTGAAGCCTCTCAAAGACCCGAAGGATGGAAACTTAACATTGGAACAAACTAGACATGAAGGACACAACCATGAGTTTGAACTTCGCTTTGGGATTTGAAATACTCTGGGGAAGTAACAATAAAGAAAGATCTGAAATAAAGTAACATTGGGGGGCCCGAAGACTCAACACGTATAGATTCAACATGACATTACACATGATGAACCTTGCTTATCTTTCTTTTTATGTAAATAAGATGCGAATAGTTAACAGTCTAATTATGACTTTCTGTGTTGTTTGCTTATTGAGCTTATAATAATAATGATTTGGATGGTATTTTAATAACGATTATCCTGTTGCTGTATAGCTTAACGGCTTTTCCTATTCAATCTTTTATATTAAGCTTATAATAAAGTGCTATGTATGTGACATCTTCTAAAACTATAATTGTTTTACTGCCTCTGAAATATGTATAACCTCATTGCAATAAATACTTTCATTACATCTACATATGCCTCCATTATATTAGAATAGCTTTTAAGATTGAGCTACGAAGGCGGGGGGTGGGAGGGTTGGGGATATACAATTGAATGAACATGTATAAATAAATATTAGAGATGTATAGTAATTATAATGTATGTTCTTTGAAAATTACTTCACACACCAATATCTTACATAAGCGCTTTGAGCTTTCATATTACAAGGTCATCTCAAAGTACTTCACATAACTGGCTGGAGGCTGGAGCTGGGCGGAAGAAGGTGGCTGAATGCGCGTACGAAAGATAGGTCTTCTTCATCATCGACTGCTTACTAATTCAGACATTACAATGTTTATGCCATACTTATTGATACATATGTAAATTTATATTTCCCAAATGGCACCTGTTCCTGCTCTCTCCCCCCCATTGGCGAATTCAGAAACACCATTGATTGCCGAGCAAAATGTCTGTGTCAAGCCACAAAGGTGCACATGAACACCTGCATAACCCCCCACCCTTCTTTAATAAGCCCCGTTAACCTTATGGATAGTTATTACTGTTGAGCATTGATTATTCCAGCATTCCTATCGGAAGACAGATTTAAAGGCAGAGACTGTTCTTCTCCCACCACAACCACAGATTTTTAGCCTGTAATAGTTAGCCTGTAAAAATCATGCATTGCACAAATCATGGTTTTGCTAAAAGGACATCAAATAGATCTTCCCCCCACCCCCTTCTCCTCTGTGTATTATCTCCTTTACAAGAGGACTGGGTATGTACTCTATTTGGTTGGCTACAGTATTGGAGATTATAAGGACAGATACGGACTGAGATGAACACTCTTATTTGCAACTGTGGTTTATTAGCTGCTGGGTTTGGAAGGATAATGTTCACTGCATGGAAGGAGGCCATTTTTAAATCAGTGGAGCTATGGAGAGGGATGAATTTTCTGGACATTTTCTTGGTTTCCATTGGGGTTCAGGAAGCGTTTATGTAAAGCTAACCCACAATAATCATATTAATCCTTGCTTTTGATATAGCTCCTTTCACATCAGCAAGACGTCTCAAAGCGCTTCACAGGATCTTACTGTAAACTCCAGTGATTGTGTATTTTGTCAGCAGGCAGCCTACAAAATAGCCATACGTGAGCACAGCAGCCAAGGAGATCGTGAGAAAACTCACTGATCAGACTGACTGTTTGATGCAGCTCACGATAGGATCAGCTGTGTAATGGACTGAGAGAGGAGCAGATGTGATGAGCTGAATGGCCATTTTTTAATCCAATGTTGTTAAATTCTCACATATGACAAAACAAAATCTATGACTCTGGGCTATCTTTTAAAAGGTTGCACATGAAAATTAAAGCAATATTTTCCAAAATCAACGCCTGAGGATTATTACATTTCATGCGTGAAAGTGACTGACTTTCAACATTGTGCCTCCGATCTAAGACTCCCACAGCATTGTTTAATTTGCACTACATAGCGCTGACGCTGGTCTGACATTAATAAGAATTCGCACATGGAACACAGATCGCTCCTCAACTGCTCACTTCAAAATATTGTTGCGCTAAGGAAGCTATTTACTCCACAGGCTAAGGGATCAGTTGTTAGTTTTCTCTTCCAAGTTTTAAAACCATTTTTTTTGTCAGAGAATCAAACATCTCTCTCACTCTCTCTTCTCCCCGCCCACCCACCTACCAGGATAGCAAGTGTATTAAAATCAATAGATCTGATTTTTAACCGTATTCAAATAGTTTCACAAAACTGCCTGGCATTGAATTGGATAAAACTGTTTCAACACGAGTTGAGCACATGTGCACAAGGACTTTTCAACATGTATGAGAGAAGGCAGCACCAAGGTCACAACATTATAGAAAACACAGCCATTTAATTAGCACAAGCTTCCACGCACGTTAGGATTGCATTAGATAACAGAGACAAGCTGCATATGTGCTATATGCTCTGGGAAATTTTCACACAAGGGAATTAGCACCACATTTAGGGAGACAGGGCCTTGGGCTAGCTTTCCAGTGCCTTGGGCAATGTTTGACTAATTTATATGGAGCATTGTTTATTTTCCTTAGAGTATTTGCATCCAGGGACCCTGAAGATCCCTAAGCTATAAACTAATGGTACCTTATTTGATCTTTTACCCATCAGCCCTTTCTTTTCATTTGTTTTTATTGCTGTGAGGGATTACTCACTGCTGTGAACAGGGAATTTGTCTCGTATGAGTTTACATTAGGTCCACTCTGGCTTGTTTTAGATATACTAATCTACACAGACCTCTAGCAACATTGGCTGATATTATATGTACAAATAGATAATATTGATGGTTGGTACTTACACATCCAAAAATACTCTCAATAATCTAAATGCAAGAATCATTTCAGATAAACATCTGAATTTTATTCCTGGATGCGCTAAACTGTACTCACAATTTTTAAAATGAGCTCAATTTCTCAACAAGAATTTATCTTTATACAAGATAGGATATATGAATCACTCAAACTTATAATAATCCTTGCATTTACCTCACTCATTTTCTGCTCTGAACTGCTGCCCACTCCATAAATATGTGTTAATATTTCAGTGCTTTGTGATGTCCTCCCGACGTGAAAGGTGTTATATAAATGTAATTTTGTTGTTGTAATTGCAAATGTTAATAACATGTAAATTGAGTTTAACCTGACTTGCTTTGATACATTTTCTGGCACATTATTCTAATACATTATTAAGATGAATTTCTGTACTACATACAGATTGTGTTTGATTTAAAACCCCAGAGCATTCTTTTTTAAACTGACAAAAAATTGCAAGACAGCTGTTGACAATTGTGTTTTTAGTTAACAGAATTGAACACAGATTTAATCCAGTGTAGGTTTACAATAAACTCGATCCTGAAATCTTTATAAAAAAATCTTCTTGGGCTCAAAGCAGATGGTCCCAGTTGGTCAATTCGTAAGACCCACGTAATGATTTATAATGGTCACTTAAGGTTTGGAGGAATTTGTAGAGATAATGAAAGTATCCTTTCTGCTGAGTGTCCTTTCTTTACTACCTTCACGTTTAGCTTGATGAAGTCTTTCGCCAGATGCACTCCCTTTGTGATTGATTACAGTGTTCTCTAAGACAGAAATGTGACCTGTGAAAAGGTTGGGTTCTTTAATGGCTGAAACATTGATTTTTCAAAGTTTCACCATCATTACATTGCCAGGAATCAATCATCTCATCTTGTCCACACCCCAGACTAACAGCTATATTAGCAGTGGCTTAGATCAGCGGCAGTGCCTACAAATACACAGTTACTCCTCTTTACAGTATATTCTATGAAGCACTTCGAGACATCCCTCCCGACATGAAAGGCACTATCCCAAATGTAGGGATTAATCTTATCAGATCTAAGAATTAGTGATAACTGAATAGTATTTCTGTTTGTTAGTCTGATAAATTGTTAGTTTATTAAAGTCTCTTCATACTGGTTGTTTATAATAATCTTTGCATTTGATATAGTGAGTGCCTTATCATTGCATAGATGTCTCAAGAGTTTTCTGTAAAAGTGTAGTGACTGTCTATTTGTAGGCGAATGTGGCAGCCAGTTTACACACAGTAATGTTTCCAAACATTCCAGCTGTAATCTACTGTGTGCAAGTTAACTTTGTTTATCAGGGATTTTACTGTTTGTTAGTTCAGACTGCAAAGCAAGTAATGGAAGTCCTAACATATATTCAAAGTGGCCTATGCTTTAAGGAATGATCCAATAAGTGATTCTCCAGTTTCATAATCCTAACTAAAATGCAGCCAGACATCATTATACCCTTGTCTTTTGTTATGATGTTGGCCTCTAAACCAGCCACAACCATGTTATCTTCTTACGTTCTTGTTTCCATTTTGTTACTGAACTCTTTTGTTTCTTTCAAAACAAAAAGAACAGAAAACAAAGAGCACAGAACATGAATTAAAATGATGGATAAACAACATCACTGTTTAACAGTAAAACCATAACGTTTTAGTAGTGGTTTGTGTAAATTCACATTGTTAAAGGTAGCCATTCATTGATTTCATATGAACAAGTTATGTCCTATTTTAACCTCATTGATATTTCCAACTATAAGGAATATATAGAAGAGAATTAACATAGTAATGTAATAATCAAAGGCAAATCTATGGTGAAAGAAGTAACATGAAATACTGAGTGATAAGGCATCATTGCCAATCTAATTCAATAGCTATCTCTGTAACAACCCCTTATATTTATATAGTGCCCTTCAAGTCAGTGAACACCTGACATCTTTACTGAGACATATCAGTATTAATGAGTTTGAAATAAAGTTACGTTTTTTTCTTTCTCCCTCATTGATACTTTATTTCATATCATGGCATCTGATTTTCTTAAAGTCAACCAATCTATCTCTTATGCCATAGGCAAACTGTTCGCTCTTTATGCAATTTAACACTGAGATTCACCCTCCACAGCAGAAGAGGTTCATTTACTTGGGTCCATCAATTCAGTGTTACCGCCAGCTGTGTTAAAATGAAAGACAAAAGAATCCACTTTTCTTCGATCTTTAGAATTGGATTCTCGCTGCATATTTGAGCTGTGGATATGTAATATTATTGTAAAAGAGGACCACTCTGCCTTCAGCCTTGCAGTCCACTGATACACAGACACCAATTATCTAATCAAGAGAATAGGCAGGTTGAAAACAATGCAGGGCACTTTTCTTCATCCAGACAGTACTAAATACAGTACCAAATAAAATTATTATTGCGGCACTCATCTAGCAATAAGAGGTTGTAATTACCAGAATACCAGAACAATGTTGTCAATCATTTAGCTGAAGTTTAATTTATCCCATTATCGAT